AAATCTGATTATTAAAGGACAAGAGTGTTTTGCATATGCCACAATTTCATTACTTGTACATTATCGATAACGAACTTAACTCACTTTATATTCTTGTGCTCTTGAAGATATGTCCACTTCAGCTAATAGCCAAATATTGCTATGATTGCCCTTTTTCGACCATAATATTTCTGATGTAGATGATACGACTTGTAGTCGACTAGCGTCTGCTCCATTCAGGTTATACCAAAATCGCAGACAATGACTATCACTACTGCGAATTATTGGACTTTTCAAAGTAGCGTTATCGTGTAACTGACTAGATGTCTCTAGATACGCGTAATAGCCATCTTTTAAATTGTCAACACAGAAAATACTTTCTATTTAAAGTTAGCAGTAAAAGTTAAAACAAGTACTTGATGTAAAAAAGTGCATTAGAGATATTAAAGTATGAGTATATCATTTCTCTTACAGTACGGATTTTGATAAGTATGATCGTAACTTGGACCAGTTTTAGGGGCGATAGTTTCACCTTTGTTTCTGATCCATGCAAATTTAGAATCTGAATAGCGGCCATTTTCCCATTGGCAGAAATTTCTCTCAAAATTGCAACTTAAATCGACTTCTGTTGATACCGCTCGACCTAGATAGACCAGAACGGTGTTATAGCGTGAACGGAAAATTTTTTATTTGTGAGTTATGCAAGTAAAGAATAGAGACTGATAAATTTCTTGTAATACATTATCTTTCTGACTTGCTTTACAAAATATTATAATAGAATATATAGTGTATTCATTTTGTTGTGGCATGCGAAGATATTTCTAAAAGTTTATGTTGAGCAATAATTTAGCTAATCTTTGATCTTTAATGTCACTCTTACTGTCATATATAATTATTTATGACCCATTATTACTTAAATTTTAAATAATTAAAGTTAACTTACCGTCGATTAATGTCCAACCAAATGCAAATATTAAAATTGTTAATTCCGTGTAAAAATGTGGAGAATGGCGAAGCATCTTGGTAAAAAGTTCTCTCTCTCTGTAGTTAAGTGATAATTAATGTGATTAAGCTGAAACATTTATATTGTGATAACATATTTAAGATAAATTAAGCTCTGCTATTAGGTCTAAATATTAGGGAAAATAAGAAATAAATGTATAGTTAGAGTGGCAAAACGTAGTGTTCAACTTATTTCGGATTGTACTGTATATACGTTATACTCATGAAGATCAATTGAGAAACGGGCCGTAAGAGCTATTTGAGGTAGATAAAGTGCTAATGGATGAGAACTCAATCATAGATATGCGAATTAAACAGCCATAACGAATATATAAGCAACATACCTAAAAAAATACTGTAGCTTACCTTTTCTATCCGAATTCAACGGATATTTGCATAAATTTAACAGGTAAAAATTGGGCTCTATAAAAATCGATAAGCTTAGATAATGTAAATTCTAATAAGACTTACCTTTTGACTTTTACTTGGATTGTTAAATATTCCTAAGTTGTTGAAGTTTTAATACCTGCAAACAATGTATCTTTCGGTACTTAAATCTATATAATATGCATATAACGATATAGGTGAAGTGCGTTACATCAGTTGAAGTGGATCGATGAGACAAAACTTGCAATAATAAGAAATTGTTGGCTTTTATATATACATTTCCACTAACTTAAAAATATTTATATTAGTCTAAAGGGGAAAATCCATACCTTTCCTCTGGTTTATAAATATTTTATATCAGTCTAAAGGGAAAATCTATTAATTTCGAATTGGAAGAAAGAAAACAAATGCTTACGGTCTTAATGAGTATACCTATGTATTACTTTCGGAAAAGAAAGCATGCAGCATTAACACGCAATTAAGTAAAGTGAAGTTGACGTATCTATTTTTTCCAAATGCCAACTTGCTATTAAGAAGAAAAATATTCTCGCTAATAAGATGATGAGAACTGCAATAATCATACAAGTCTCACACAAAAAGCGACATATAATCACCGATACTAATACTCATTATCAACTAGGTGAAAATATGCAACTTCTTAGCATCACCTGATACAATGTTCAAATAATAGCCATCATCATTTCTTACGTAAATGGAAGAAGAATAGCATGTTTAGACTAAACGGAGATCTAAATAACCACTAATCCGTATAAATATATAGAGCAATACTCCCTAAATTTGCGGTTCGTTAAATTTTCTTTCTAAAACTAATGAAAATTTCGTCTTGAATTTATTAAGTGATAAAAAGTAGGCTCTTGTAAAACCAATTAAATTAGACGGACTAAATTTGAATAAGGCTTACTTTTAACTTGTACATAAATTAATGAATTCCGCAAGCCTTTGGTTTTTAAAATTTTTTTGCGTACAAGGTATAATTCGGTATTAAATCTACTATATGGCAATGTAGGTAAACTGTGTTACATCAGTGAATTTAATCCTTGAGAAAAAACACGTAATTGTAAAAAAATGTTAATTACGTAGTCTAATGAGTATGTCATTTATTAATTTCAAAATGGTAAAATAAATTATCAACATTTAGGATAGCAGACTAAAATAGACGTGTTAAATTTATTTTTCCCAATTACCAACTTGTTCCATATGTATTCTAAATATATAAATCTACCATAGTGATCTTGAAGGAGGAGATAATGATTTACTATTCTATCCTAAATGAAATAATCTCATTTTAAGTGAAAAAATATGTATACCGGCAAGATGACGACGATCAAACAAATAGCGTATATTCACCGATAGTGAAATTCATAATCAACTTTATGACAGTATACGACTTCTGAGCATGAGTTTGATAACCTCTTAAAGTAATGATGCTCTTCTTTGCATTTACGTGAATTGAAAGATAATTTATCACCCCATATCGACTGTAGATTCAATAAAGATCCGAAAGACAAAGCTTGTGACGTAAAAATTGTTAGCTTTGGTATCAATATATTTTCAGTGCTTTAAGATGTTTTATGCAAGTCTAAAGTGTGAACGTCTTCTTTAATTTCGAAGATAAAAGTAAGAATAGATAGCCTGATAAGTATGCTTATTTATTAGTTTCGAAAAGAAAATGTATTTTATCACGTGTAGTAAAGCAGACTGAAATTGACGAACCAAATTCTTTCAATCAAAAAACTTGCTGCTAAGTCTTCTAAACATAGAACTCTATGGCGTTAGCATTGAAGGATAAGTTAATGATTAATTATTCTATCTTGATGAAATAATCTTATTTATAAGAGGGAAAACATTTGTGCCGATATGATGGCATGAGATTACGAGATCTCTTAAAAATACCGCAATCACCGATAGTAAAACTTGTTTCCAACTTGTTTAAAATATGCAACTTATCAACAAGATCCAACATTACTCATATGTTAAAATGATGATCTTTTCGCTACGTGAATTGAAGAATAATAACATATCATCCCATATCAATTGTAGACTCAATAAATATATAAGTAACAACGGATTTGTATAAATACATAGAGCAATACGCTCTACGTTGCTTGATATTATTTTTTCTTTCAAAAATTAATGGACATTTCGCGTAGAATTTATTAAGTGATGAAAGAAGAGTCTCTATAAAAATTGATTAGACTAGACAAGGTAAAATTCCAATAAGCCTTACTTTGACTTTTACGTGGATTGAAAATTATATTAATCCTATCTATAATTTGTGAGATGTTTTAATACTTACATGCCAAGTATAATTTGGCTATTGAATCTATATGAGTAATATGGCGATCTTGGTAAATAATGTTGTATCTATTAATGATCAATAATGCCGAATTTTATACTGGTCCATTTTCAATAGCCTACGAAGGTTCGTATTGGTCTAAATAACTAAGCTTATTCATTAATTTACGAAAAGAAAACATGTGCAAAAAGTAGAACTTATCGGTACCGAGATTATCATGTTCAATTTTCTTCAAAGATTGGCTTGCTACCTGCATGTTTTAAGCATACAAATCTATCATGCTCGCTTTGATATGAGTTCATGATTTATTATTCTATCTTAGATGGAATGATCTCATTTACAAAAGGGAAAAATTTATGCTTATTAGATGATGACGACTGCAAATCTTATACAAATAGCCCATTTTAATCACTAATAGCAGAACTCATTGACAACTTTACGGAAACATACAACCACTTAGCAAGATCTGCTGCCATTATCGTGTAAAGCAAATCTTTCATTGACATTGACATTTATTCCCTGAAGAGATATAGCTATCTACTGCGACTACTTGATATTGGATTACATGGATCCTAATCTAGCATTATTGATGGTAGATAACATTAATTTCAAGCATGATGCAATTATTAGAAGTGACTAAGCTAGCAGAGGAACTACCTTTATGGAGACAAGGGTGTCATTTACAATCATCTGAAAAGGGACTTTATTTAGAGTTTATACTGTATAAAGCGTTAAACATATCTTATAACAATTATTTCTATCTTGATAACATTTCTCACTATGCATACCCTTCTCTATAACACAGTAAAGTGGGTATATTCAAAATTTCTTGGTTAAAGAAAGTCAATGAGCTGCAGAAACTCATATTTCTGACAATTTTTAATCGGAATTTCTACTCGAGTAAAGCGACAATCTCGATAAAAATAAAAGCAGACGTTCGATTGACAGTTTAAGAAGCTTAATCAGCGTAGATTAGTAGTTTTTAACTTATTGAAGCAGAAAAATAGCGATAAAAAGCAAATAGCATCTGCAAAAGATATATTGGCACTCTAAAGGACGAAATTGCACCTAATAAAAGCGTATAAACAACAAATAACTAAAATGTCTTTAAATCAACCTTCTATTGAGAGAGTACTCAACTCCTGTCGGTACCACCAAACTAACACCAAGCATTAGTGAGTGCAGTAAGTTACTGCACTGAAGTCCCTAATTTGAGTTAGGGTTTGAAAGCAACTTGTTAGTCTGATTTAAATTTTAATATACTTGATGGGATTCTCAGCTATTAACCAATGCCGAAATAGATGAATAGGTACTTGATTATGGATCAAGTTATAACGGCTAGTGCTTACGAGAGTAATTTATCAGGATTTATTTCTATCTCTAGTGCAATTGTAGACCTAATAGCCAAGGAATATATTCGATGCAAATTGTCCAAGTACTGTTTCCGGAACGAAGGCTGAATACAATCTTATTAGCTACTGCAGAAAAAAAACTCGACAGAATGAGCTAGATAGTAGAATGTACGGATTGAAAATAAACTCCTTTATACTTATGTTATTACATTCAAATTAGCTACTTGTGCTCTTGTTAGAATTATGCACTGACTAGTCACAAATGTACAAATGGGCTATAAGATTTTTTGACGCTAATATAACCTTCACGCAAGCTTATGCCGTAAGCGCATTTCGCGTAGCTGAAAGAT